TCCCGCGAGGTCTGAGTGTTAAACATATACTTAAATATTTTATTACACCAATTCAAAACGCAATAATTCTACGGTAGATTAATATGTTTGCAAGTTTATTGAATTAAAATAAAATTTTTTTTTCAACCAATCATTTGACCCTCATGATATAGTATATTATAGTTTTATAACTAGAAGTATATTAATATAATAAAAAAATTAAATTAGCTGAAATACATTTCAAAACCTTCTAGAATATTTGTATACAAGTAAGCTTCTAAAATAAATTATCTTAACAAATAAACCCCTATAACATAAACTATACAATTAGTTAAGTTTCATTAATAAATGCTGGTAGGGCAGTAGACATATTAATAGGGTACCTTTATTAGGTTATTAAGCTAATATTCGTATATTCTACCTACATAGATAATATATAATCTACACAATAATATATATGTATATTATGCAGGGACGTCATTTCAGGGTTTTTTCGGATGTGTAAGGTTTCAAGCAGGCCATTTTGAAATTTTACCAGGCCATATAAAAATATATATACGTTTATGTACATTATCTTGTTTTCAATTATTTCTACACATCATAGACCAAATAATTGCACCAACATAAATAGTAAGAATCAATTTAAAAACTAAAAATATAGTAAATAATTAATTAATTACCTTAATAGTGAGAACTAATAACCAATGCATAAAAAGCTAGAAAAAAAAAATACAGCAGTAAATAAAACACACATATATTTATAAATTGTCGTTTATTTTTTATACTTACAATTTTTGTAAAAGCAAAATGCTCAAAAAATAAAAATATATTATTTTAAATTTAAATAAACGGACACCGGTTATAGTTAAGTAAATAAATCTGCACATTCTTATAGATTGGTATTGTTCACGTCTATATTTTCAACATTATATTTGTAATTTAAAAATACTTTTGCAGATGGAAACTCTAAAGCAATTAGAATTTCATCATAATTCTGTTTTAATTGTAAAATAATAAGTATTTACTTATTTTTATAATGTAACAATGTATTCTGTTATGTAGATTTTATAATATTATCAGTTTATATTATCGTGCGGCGTTAAATGCAATAAAAACAGTGAAACAAATATTTTTTGGAACAATCAATATCATGTTATCTATTATTTACTTAATTAATTGATTACACGATATTTGTTTATAACTAATAATGATTGACAGTTTAGTGTTTACCAATACTGATAAATACCAAAAAACAATTTTAGACGATTGACGAATAATAGTGTATTATTTCAGTAGGACACAGACCAACTGGAACTATTTTAAAAGTAAGGGTGCACACCCTGAGCTCCCTAAATGACGCCCCTGATATTATTTACATATTTTGCATTATAATATGAACTCTACTTAAAATAGACTACTTCTCTAATTATCGATTTTTATATTGAATATAATAATATTAAAACATTTGAAAACAAAATACATAAGAACATTTTATTTATTTAATCGCAAAAATATTAAAGAATAATATCAAAATAAGAATGATTAGGTATAATGGAATGTAATCATAATAAATTATGATTTTATTTGATTACAGAAACAAACCTTATAACAGAAAACAAAATTGAGCCGCTCATAATGAGTAAAACTGAATTCACACTAGATAGTATACAAACACAACACCAAGTCCAAGAGGCATGGAATTGAATATTATATTTGTATAATAGATGTTATATTTTTGTGTATATAGTAGGTACAATAGTACATAATATATTATTATTTGTTACCTAATACCCATGTTATATACTTATATGTACAGAACAGAACGTAGAATATACATTACGTTTTTGTAAAAAATTGTTTTAATTTTTTAAAAGATTTTCACCATCATATATAAAAAAGTTAAATAAATATAAATTTAAATAGGTAGTTAAAAGTTCAAGTTATAAAGAAAATAATTTAATAAAAATCGACTGATCAAGACATTAATTATTCATAAGTATTTTATTTCTCCTGTCTCATATAGACTTATAAGCCTTCTTCTAACCTTTTCTAAAGTATTGGAGAAAATTCTATTAAAAAGGCTTCTACCTTTCGCTTCCTCAAACAACATATACCACACATCCAATTTGGATTCAAACTAAAACACTCGACCATACATCAACTACATAAGACAGTTTATACAATATCAAACTAAAATCAGTTTTGTACATCAATATTCCTAGATATATCCCAAGCCTTCGATCGGATTTGGCACAATGGACTATAGTATAAACTCAAGAAGTTCCTACTTATAATATTATACACTGTAGGTATATCAAATGTATACAAGTATAATATGTGTTTTATACAAGCTACTATCTAAGACCAACAATTACTTATGTAATTGAAACATAATCTTCGATGAAAGGTGATAACGATAACAATAGACTGGCAATTTTTGAAAAAAAAGGTATTTAGAAACATTTTTGGGCCAGTGTAATAGGTTATAGGTACAGAGTTAGGAATGGTCAAAAGAAGGAAGAATTATGACCTGTACAGACTGTATGACAAAATCAATATTTTATTATACTTATCTAAAAGTTAAGAGAATGCAATTGTTTGGATATTTATGGAGAATTGAAAAACTGATGATATCATAAAAACGTACCAACTGAAACCAAACATAAAAAAAACCCAATAAATAGATCATGTACAAGAATACAAGATGGAAAGATGCTATGAACTGTGGAGAAAAATATCAAAATATTAGGAAGAAATGTGTTAGTTGACTTGGTATTTAATAAGGAAAGGTGGAGATAATTGCTTATAGCAACTCAGGTCCTACAAAGACTATTAAGATAAGAGTAGAAAAAGTATCATTTTTTGATTATTTTAAATTAAGTTATCTAAATAACTAAATCTAATTGACCCTATTTTAGGTTTATATTGTAGTTGTGACTATCACAGTTGTGAATATAGCTAAGAAATAAATTTTATTTGTTAACTAGTTGGTAATTATAATCAGGTCATTCATTATAAATTAATTAAACTATACAAATTATGTCAGGAGTATTTTGATACAGCAGATGGAATAGATTTTTGAATCTCAATCAAACTTAACCCTGAAATTGCCAATTTTATGAGTATATGGTTCAACAGATTGACTGCTATGAGATTTCATACTGAATCTCATCATGGTATATATATATATATATATCTTGCCTGCCAAAGGTTTTTTTTTTGTTAATGTACTCAAAAAAAAAAAAAAAATATTATAAAATAGTTTTATCCATTTTAAAATTTTTGGATATATTTTCAAAGACATCATGAAGATATTCAGGTATTCCAAGTATTATTTTATACTTTATAAATGAATGACTAATGAGACTCAAAATAGGATCAATAATATAATTGGTTTTATATTTATACAAAGTGAGATCCAAATTGACCCCTCAATTTATTATGAAATTTTATACCACAGATATTTTATTGTGAATAAATGTAATAAATTAAACTAGGTACTTGTACCTATGTATTTTTATAATATAAGAATGAATTCAACATTAGATTAATTTTAATATGTTCATTCATTATTAAAAATAAGAAATAAGACTATAATATCTACTTCACTAATAATTTAAATTAATTAATTCATTAAAATTTACTTGTTATATGCAAGGTGGATATCCACCTTGGTTATTTGCTTATATGACACATTTTTATATTACATTTTTAAATTTTACTATCGTTTATCATGATAATTGATAACAATAATGGAGGGTATTTTATCAATGGCACTAGTAGGTCTTGTACACTTTTACCAATATTTACTATTCTTACTATTCACTTTGTGGTTTGTGCTACTATATTATAGTTTACGTTTTAAAAGCAATAATTTAGTGAATTAAAATTTAAAAGGATATTAAAGGTTATTTTAATAGGATAAACAAAAAAAAAAAATAATAATAATAAATCATCAAAAGATGACAATTTCTAACTAAAACTATCAAACCAAACTAAAAATACAGTAGAATCTAATTAAATTTAATTTTTTTGTGGTGTATAATACCCAATCCTATATAGATCTCATTTATTAAAATGAAATGTAAGTGAGATCCAATCCAAACATTTTTTTGGTTATTTATGCAATATGGGTTTCATGGCCAGGTGAAGGAACTCGATGAAAAAAATCTTTGGTACCTATTACTTAGTTAACCTGTTAAAAAAAATCATTTTACAATTTTTCAATGCAAATTAAATCGGTTTAAAAATATTTTTTATAATTTTATCTACATTTTAGTTTATTTAATAAACGTTCAAATAAGTAAGTCAATGAAATTGATCGAAGTACAATACTTATTTTTAATGAACTAAAATAGTAATATTTTAACTAATATTAAGTTATGCATAATATGTGGGCTAGCTAAAATTTTGTCATTGCATTAAAATAAAATGTAAATTATTGCTATACAGTATACATTCAATGATTCATAACAGTCATTTGTATTCTTGTATCATGCATTTTAATCTGAATATTTTCAAAGATCTTATTGTTTAGGTTAGTAAATACTAAATACACTAATTATTTTTAATAATAAATATAATATATTAATGATAGTTGATAGGTATATGTATATATTATAATTTATATTAGGTATATACGTAAGATTGACAATTGTGTGAACAAAAATATGTTTGATCAATAATACTGTTTTTAATACATATTACCTACCTACTTACACGTGGCTTGTTATATACGTACTGACAATGGACGCTGTAACTCAAAAGGCAATGACAAAAAAGTCAAACTTGTAAGTATTACGGGTAGTTTTTTATATTAGTATACTTATATATGTGTAAAGAAAGTATGAAAAAAATATTTTGTAAACAAACAATGTCTTTTTTATATTGCGTGATGTGTAATTTATACATACATTTGTAAATTGTTTACGGCGTATATGCCAAAAATAGCGTGTTTTTAGTAAATAACAAAAATGAATTGAATAATGTTGGTGACAGTATTTGATGTGCTATGCCGTAAGTGCAATACCAAAGTATATCATTGGTGTTTAGACGTTTAGTCTCATGCGTTGTGTTGTAGTGAAATTCGTTATAAAAATATTTCGTTGTTACTTGTTACCATAATACGCACTATAGCAGGTCGGACCATCTTATCAGATTATCAGGTACCTAAGTTTGTAAAAGTAGCCACTGTACATACAAATAATTAAGTACAATAGCTAATCCAATTTTATGTATTAGGTGGACTTAATATTACGTTTACATGTATTTTATAGTTTATAGTAGGTAGACTTTAATGGTATATTAAATATTATACATTTATGCCATTGATTATAGAATAGTCTATTTTATAATCAATGTATATTAGTAAGTACCTCGAGTATTGTATCTAATAAGTTCTAAAAGTTCTATAATTGCATAATTAGGTATTTATTGTTTATTCAGTGAAAGTAAAAATTACTTAATGCTATTTATTAACTATTAAATTTATTATAGATGCAAAAAATCTTGAATATCATATTAAAATTTAATTTTTAATTAATAGGTAGCTATTTATGCATAAAATATAGGGAGTCTAGTGAATAAACTACAATAATATTATTATGTTACTTTTTAAATTACGTAATACGCTGGTAAAGATATTTTCTATTAACACACGCACATTTTAACATTGTTTTTTTTAAAGTTCATTTATAAAACAATCTGTAATTAGGTGTAAAAATGAGCTGAATAAGTATTATAGTATGTGTGCGGATCACGATTTTGATAATTTATTTACATCGTGATGTGGATACACACTACACTTCTACACAGTATATTTTTAAATAGGTACCTACGTTCTACACCAAATACTAGAAATAGTAAAACTACTTTATGTGGGGATACACTTTATAAACCGTGGGATGAACTGAATGAAATAATTAAAAGAAATTTGAAGTTACAAAATAAAAAGGAAAACTGGTCACATTTGGTAGTACTCACAATAGTGTCTATAACAACCGTTAACTAGCTGAGGGTGCTACAAGTGCTACAACACACCAGCACACGTTATTCAATCCGCCCCTAGTAGTATACATTTTTAAATACTTAAAATTCTAATTAAGAATTATTAAATTTATATCATTTTTTATATTTTATGGCTTTATGCCCTATTATATAATGATTTGTTGAAAAATATTGCAAATATGTATTTTTCGAAAATTTACAATGTAATGTAGGTATTAGGGATAAATTATTTTCCATATTTAAAGTCAAATAGTACAATAATTGAATATTAAAATTTTAACTGTAGGAAATCAGGAACTAAAGTTTCAAGAGGTTCTAAGCAATGGCCACCAGCAAAAACAGTAAATTCAAAACGCAAGCAATTATCTGAACTTTGTTCAACCAAATTAATGTCAAAAGTAAAACCTACCATCCCTCCAAACTTTGTAGACAATTTATTTAAGCAAACAAGATTTACAAAGTAAGTACACCTTCTTTTAATTCTTAAGATATAAGTAATATACATTATATACATTATTTTTAATATTTTAATATTAGATATTTTACAACTTACAATTATGAACATATTACTTAGGTAGGTATTAAGAATTAGTCACTTTTAATTAACTACCTTATCCCTGTTAATTTCATCTTATTTTTTGAATTACAATAATAGGTACATAATAGTGGGTACCTATATTGTGAGGTTTTTGTATTTTATACAATTATTTGTAAAATTTTAGGAAAGAAATCGTTGGATTATGCAAGCTATTTAAAAAACTTGTTGCTATTTATGGCGTTGAATCCACGTCTTCAGTAGCGGCAATGAGTTCGGTTGCTTTAATAACGATTCCAACGCAGGTTATTTTCCATGTATAATGTTATATATACCTACCTATTTTTTCTCATTCTTAATTTTGTCTTCATGTAGGGTTTTGATAGGTCAATGTTCAGAGAATTTCTGCAAAATGAATTTGGAATTACAACTGAGGAGATTTTGACAGATCGTATATTTTGTTTTTTCGATCAACGAAATGACGGCGTTATACACGAAGATGAATGGATAACTGGATTGTCGGTATTGCTAAAAGGCACTCAGGACGAACGAATTAAATACACGTTCACTATATACGATCTAAATAACGATGGATTTATAACGAAAGAAGAGATTTTCAGTCTGTTAAGGTTTAAAAACTCGGCAATACATTATTATAGATTAAATGTTACTTAGACGTAGCTGAAGTGTCTCACAGCCCACAGGTATTATATTCAGTAATTAATAAATAAATAGGATTTTGTGTTTTAGGAACTGTTTGGTCAAACATCCGCAAGACGAGGATCCAGATGAAGGCGTACGAGAACTTGTCGACATTGTATTGCGCAAAATGGATTGTGACAACGATTCAAAACTTTCGTTTGAAGATTTTTCTACGTCTGTTATCAAACAATCGTTATTGCTTGAAGCTTTTGGACAATGTTTACCATCTAGAGAAATTTCAGAGAGCTTTTTAAATTCTATTAACAGTGTACAGTAAATATTTGATATTCAAAAAGTTACCAGCAAGAGCAATAAAACTATTTAAAAATCTCGTTCAGACGTTCAGTCATACGCTATTATTATCAGAAATGTTATGTATTAGAATCAAAAAATCTTATTAGTTAATACTTTTTAATTAACGTAGACTAAATTATATACAATTATTAAAATAAATATAAGTATATGATAAAAAATTAAAAATGCATCAAATAAAAGCGTAACATATATTTTTTTTCAAATGTTAAATACCTACATTCTTAGTCTTAGTCTCAAATGAATAGAAATACATTTTTCCAGGAAAAACTTTAAGGTCATATTTCTATTATTTTTAATATACAATGTATTTATATTTATTTAAAGATATACTCATTTAAAATGTATTTTAAGTTTGTCCATGGTACTTATAATTTAAACACGCATAACAAAAATATATACATATAAAATATAAAAGAAATCAACTATAACAAACTATGTTATATGTTTTATATCAATAATGTATATACCTAAGGACTATATTAAGTAAATCTAATAAAGTTTTAAAATTTATTATTTTTTCTATATTCTATATTTAAAATCACTTAAATCATTTTCTTTTATCGTACAATATAAATCAATTAATCTTAATACTACTAAAGAAAAATATAAACTAATTATTATGACTCAACTTAAATAAATAGTCTACAAATTATAATATTCATCATTATTGCTATTTTTAGTTACTTTGGATGATTTTTGTATCAACATTTTAGATTATTATGGAACGGTATAATAATAATATAAATTATTTTTGTTGCTAAAGCAAAGATTTAAGTAAAGATAATTTCTATAATATGACACAAATTTGTGTATTTTTGGTTAGAAAAATAAGTCTAATCTCTCAGCACAATAAAATGCTTATCGTCATTAAGTTGTATTTATATGTTTGGATATGAAATAAATTATGTACTAGAAGGAATATTTTAATTACAATTATTTGAATTTGGTAATTAAACAGAAATATAAATTAAAAGTATTTTTTAAAGCAAAAAAAAAAATCGCAATTATTTTTTTATATTTTTCATTCATAAAATACAGTGAATAATGTAATTTTGTATAATGTTTTAATGTATAATTAGGTATTGTTTTATTAATTTGAAATATATATATATATTAAAAAAATGCAGCCATTATGAACTAGCAAAAGTATAAATATAAAACATATTATAATAAATTATTACACTTATATTTCCACTTTACAGTCTCGCTTATCGTAAAAAAAATTAGATGTCATTTAAATTTAATTAACAACTATATTAAAACTATTTTTCTTTTGGCACAATTTTGTCTTTATCTTTATCTTTAGCAGCAGCAATTGTACTAGGTGTAATACCAGCAGCAGCAGCTATATTACCAATACTACAAGTATCTCCTGTTTCTAGTTGTTTTAATAAACGAAATAAGGCTGATGCTTCTCGAATTTGGATAAAATCAATACAAAATGCTTGGACTTCAATAAATAATTCCTATAAGAAATAAAAATAATAAGTGAACATTTATTACTAATAAAATAATTATATTAATTCATTAAGTTTATTAAGTTTTAAAACAAATAAAATATACTTAATACAGTAAACAATGAAAAAATATTTATTTATAAATAATAAGTTTTTACCTGCACATTGATTATTTTGTTTCTAATGAGAGATTGTAGGAAAACACATACTAAACGAACTAATCGGTTTTGCATATATTGATCCTTAATAGTTTCACATGCTACAATACAATTTGATATGTATAGATGTACAAATTCAGTTGGAAGTTCTACAGTAGTAGTTAATCTATTAAATAACACATAAACTTATTAAACAGTGATAAAAATTATAACAATAATGACATACCGATTAACTACTTCCATTGAATGCAAAGACATTTCCATATTAACTAAGACGGAGAAGTAATCAGTAATACAATGTGACTGCATTAGTTTTAGTAATACTTCAATAGCTATTAGAGGATTATTCTCAACTAAATCTGGCAACTTAAATATTAAAATACAAAAATATAAATTATTACTAATCATATAAGCATCAATAAATTGTATGTAACTTTGCTTACTTTACAAGGTGTAAGACCAATATGATAAACTAGTTTTGGATCATTTCCAAGTTCTGCTAAAAGATGCTGTTGTTGTTGTAAGGTTAAAGGTGTTTTAAGAGCTTTAGTCATAAGTTCTCGTGCTTCGGTAGCAGCACTAGTAGATACACACATTGTTTTATCATACATGATCTGGTGATTCGATCGACTACTCATATTCATCCATACCATCTATGAAGATATTCAATTGAAATAATAAAAAGTATAATTTATTTTCTAATTTTTTATTTAATTCTTACTTCTTCCTTGCACACATACAATGGTGGTACAAGTCGCATCATTTCTGGTTTAAAATTGTGTGAAACATATGATTTTGGTCCACTAATTAACATTTCTAAGACTTGTTTTGCACCTTCTTTTGATCTGTAACATAAAAATATAAATTTAAAAACTATAACAGTTTAATAATTTAATGTCTTACTCAGTTTTTTGAGGATCTGGTATGATAACTGGAAGGGAGCTTTTTGCTGTGCGTGGAAGATTTTTTCGCCGTTCTTTAATTGTATTAAGAATTGTTGCTGTATTTACTACAGGTTTAGTGGGATCACTGCGTGCTGTTAATACTTGTTTAGCAGATTTTCGTAATAACTCTTTAGAATTTTGTGACATAATTAAATTAGAAAGAAATATTTTAACAGGCATAGTTAAAACTGGTAAATCACCAACATATTCATTTTTACCAACTTTTTTATGCTGTAAATAAAATGTCATAAACATTAAGGTTTATTATTAAAACAATTATATTCAAAATTATATCTTACCAAAAGATGCATAAAAACAGGTGCTAAAGGATTAGTTGCAATTGGTTCATTTCGGTATAGTTCATAACATAATATTATAGCAGCAAATTTTTGTGTTTGATTAAGTAAGAAATCAGAATGTTGAATTAGCATAAGTAAAGTACAACCAACTGTAATAAATAATATACACATTTAATAATTATAGATAAGTGAAAATTAATATATATATATATATATTTTTTTTTTTTTATAAATAAATATTAAAATGTAACCTTTAGGCAGTTAATTATAAATTTAAAAATGTAGTAATGAAAAAAAATAGGTAACTTAAATGTGAATAAATAAAATTTAAAAAAATTATTAGAATAAGATAAAAATTTATGTTTATTACTTACTAGAATGGTAATGAAAGATATTATAGCAATATTCTTAACATGAGAAAATCATAAATACATATATTTAATACTATATTTGAAGCAAAAATTAAATTTTATATTATTATTATTATTATTATTATTATTATTTAAATAATGTTTTCAGTGTTATAACACGAATATTTTATTAAGTTTAATAATTTACCTTTAAAATTATCTTCTCGTTTAAAATATTGGTGTAATTGTGAAACTAGATATTCAAGTGTTTGATTTTCAACAGTTTCTTCACTGAGTATACTATGGAAATAAGTAATTTATTATGAAATTAAATACAATTAATGTTAAAAGTTTATTTTCATACCTCATGAGAGTAGATAATTGATTCACAGAGAGATACATTCTGTAGGTATGAATGATGGTGGTCAAATTATGCTTATTTATTCAATAAAATACTTAAGTAAATTTCACAGTAAAATTAGGTTGTACCTTAGATAGAGAATATTAACAAATTAGATTAATAAATTGTAATGCTTATGAATAAGACAAAAAATAATTTGTAATTATTAGTTTTAAATAGTGTAATTTATAAACATTTGACTAATAACTTGATAAGAATTGATTATACATTGTTGCCAACATAAAGAATAAATTTTTATTATCACGACAATCTAAATACTTATAAAAATATTCCAAAGAGGACATATTAAGCAAAATGGTTGAAATGTTTGAAAAATTTTAAATTACTGTACTTATAATAATCAACAATAACAATTATTATTATTATTCAAAAATTTAAAATAAACGTTAAGTTATTAGGGTAAGTAAGTTTATATTTTAACTTTTAAGGTTAGTATAATTAATAATGTATTAAATTTATAATTTGTTTCCATAGGTGTACCATAAGTTTTAAATTAACGTACCTACTATAATGTAATTAATAGTTTTGGTGTATTTCAGTAATCGAATAAAGATTTTAAATTTTAAGGTTCTATAGTAATATAATAGATAGATAGATAGATACATAATATAATATGTATAATTTACTAATATATTTTACAATATTATGTTTACCTATCAGAATTAAGATATAGGTAGGTAGGAAGTACTTTATTACAATGATTATTTACTAATTTTAAACACAAGAGTAATAGGAGTATGAGATTAAAATAGCTTTAAGATGTATTGTTAAATTATAAGTTAAATATTCATTATAATATAAAAAAAATTATAAACATCTACTTATATTATCCAAATATCCAATAACTTTATAATTTATATAAAGAAAATTAAATTGATATTTATACGTATATAATAAAAAGTTCCTATACTAATTTAATTTTGTAATTTAAACAGTTAACAAACAAATTATTCGTCTTCTAAAAAAAAAATTATTTATTTAAAAATTTATTTTTTTTTTATCTTAAATTAAGACGAAACGACAATTGTAATTGTCTGTTTCAGTAAAAGGTTACACTAATAATTAAGTATAGTTTATAATATTTAATAACATTGATTAAATATACGAATATTATTGAAGCATATCCATCTATACTTAATCAATGGCAATATTTTAACAATAAATTTTAAATTGTAAATATAATTCTCCAAAAATAAAATAGAAATAATAGATGTACCTATGGGAGTTTTTAATTATGGTTATATTTTTGTATCATTTACTACTCTTATAATATAAATTTACAGATTTTCGTGTAAAAAAAAAAAATAATAAGTGTCTTTGGTAAAATATTCAGATTTAAAAAAACTATTGTAGTATAATATTTTACTATAGTCTATAATTTATTAATTGTTCTATGCAAGTTCTATGTTACCTATTGAAAATTATTAATATCATCTGATCATTATCCTTCAAAATGTGGTTACGGCACAGATATCTATATTATCTGTGGGTTACGGTGTTAACTATTTGTTATCTATGGGGTCATCTATTTTCATGCCAGTAGTTACCAGGTACCATTATTAAACATAATTCTTATCAAAATTAATTTATTATCATTTCAAATATTCACAAATTGTTAGTCCATATATTTTAAACCGAAAAATAATTAAGAATTTTTAATCTTTTTTACAAATTTTCACAATCTACAAATTTATTATTATCAAACGATGTTTTATGCATTTTTATTTAAATTGCATGTCTACTCAACTTGATGCAAGCACAACGCGTAATCAAATTATCTCGTCATTTCAAAATTTTGCCAATTTTCTCAATTGGATATTATTATGAAACCATTATTAAGAAAAATATCACTCCTCGGATTTACCTAGCATGCAAAGGTAAGACTATATTATGTAATTATTGAATTTTAATTATTTTTATGTGTTTGAAGTTTTAAAATAAAATACTGGTTAGTGTCTAGTAGGTATTTTCGAATTTTATTGAATAAATTAGGTAATGATTAAATTATTATTTGAACGGTTGTATTTGTATAGATGTTATTCTCGAAAGAAATTTTTTAAAACATATAGTTATTAATAACTAAACAAGTTAATTTGACGATAATATTGTAATGTAGGTACAAATTTATTATAGTTTTATTAATTATAATTCAAAATGTATTATTTAAATAATTGAATATGAAATACATTTCAGAGTGAGATTATTGATGGATTTTACATACAATAATGATATTAATAAAATAGAAAATATTATTTTCCCTGAAAAAATTTAGTATTTAATAGCTTTTATTGATTTAGTAAATAAAATAAACAAATAAAAAAAAGTATAGGTTAGTACCTACGTCAAATACTTTTTCGTTCTTTTTATGGTAGTACTCTCCTCCCCTTACATCTCACAGTAATAACGTCAGTAACTGCAGAGCTGTTAATAATAAATATGTAGAGTATGTAGACATAAGACATTATGTAATGATTAGTAACTGACTATTGAAATTTAAAGGTTAAAAACATGTTTGGTTTGTTGTTATGAAATATTTTGTTTAAACAGTGGAAGTAGAATTGTTATTAACCAATGACTGGAGGGAGGTGTTATATAATACAAATAATTAAAGGTACATCGAATTAATAGGTAGGAAGTAGATATTTTATTAAAAATAGTCTTTAAGGTATAATATAGATATTTAATATTACATGTTAAGAAACTAAAATTTGTAAATTTGTTTAATAATGTCATTGCCCTCGAATGTTGTTTAATATGATATTATATTAAATAATAAAATAATGTCATTTCTCAGCGGGTCGTAAGGGATTGATTGCTATCGTTGTTATTACACAATGAATATCATTAATTTGAGACATCCAAGACCTTAACCAATATAACTTACATTTTGGCAATACAACGCAGAAAAAATTGCCATAGTCCATAGAATTAGTTCGTTAGTGTTTACAAGATAAAAAATTCAAGGTTACTCGTTAGTCATTAGTTATAACTATCCTTATATATCATATTGATACTTGTACATGAAATATTTGGTACACAATTTCATATTTATGATATTCAAAATATTTTCGTGACTTATTATTAGATTTATTTAATTTTTAAACTTTTATTTTATTAAAATATATGATTATATGATTGATTCTCGGAGGGAGTAAACTACTAGTCGATAGTAACTGATTTAATTTGTGAAAACTTTAATATAAGTATAACTATATAAATCTTGGTAATTTATATTACACTTTGCATTTTTGCTAAAATTCGACTTTATATAATTCAGAAATTGTCAGTAGCGTACCTGTTTTTCTAATGGGCTGTATAACATGTGTGCATCATTGTTATTAATTATTACATATTTACAAGGAAATCAGTATACCAGTTGATGATATTAAAAATTTTCTCATATGAAAAACCGGGAGTTAGACTAAGTATTATAAATATGCATTATTATATATTTAAATAAATAAAAATTTCTTATTTTATGTATTACAATGTTATGTTTTACAAGTATAAAATAACTCAATTATATTGTCTATTTATACTATTATTATAGCTGTGACGTTACTTTTTTAAGTAATTTTCTATTTTAAGAGTGGATAAAAATTAACCATAACTTAAAATTTAAAAAAGTTGTATTAACGCATAAGGACTCAGAAATTAAGTTCCCTTAAATTTTTTCATACTATAGTAATAATTTTAAACTAAAAATAATGGTCTTTGCATATTTTTAGATACTTTAATTCAGATTACAGCTGTCTATATGTTTTAATAATTTGTATTTCCATCAAACTATTGATTATCAATTATTATTTATCATAAGTACTTTCATATGTTATACTAATCATTTTTCGATTCTAAAATGTTGCATGGTTAGAAATTAAAATTAAGTATTTTTTTAAAGTTTGTAATTGATTAAGATCGAAAAAGATATTTTTTAATTTCTACGTCTAAGTTGTTTAGAATATTTCATTGTCAAAGTTGTAGACCTAGGTATAAATATAAATTTTATTTGCTAATGCTCACATAAAATTATATACTCATATATTCTTTTCATAACTTAATAAATATACATGAATAAAAAACAAAAGGTACTGCCAAAAAAGTGTTGGTTGATAATTACTTTTTATTTTTTTTACAATTGTAACTGATCTCTTCGTTGAGACATGAAACTGAGTTTGGTGACCTTGGTAGTAGTGCGTGAAGTGTCCAAAATCATTGGAGCCTGGAAGTATCAAGGACCTTGGGATGACGGCGAGGGAAGAGCGATAGGACGGGAGGAAGCGCGTCATTTCCCTGTTTGTAATAAGTTATACATAACGCTCAGTGTATATATATGAAATGTCTTGCCAGGTGCAGAGCAGTTATGGCGCTGTCCATACCACCTGGCTTCTGTTTTTTCCTCGTAGAACATCGCGCGTTCTCTCTTTTTCAGTAACTCACCCGTAAAACCTCTGAATCTATTCGTCCGTTACATAATAATACAGGCCAGTACACACATATACGTAAACCGTTTCATAGGTAACTTGAACTTTCTAGGAGCATGACCGTCTTAAATGGTCAAGTCATTAAGAAAACGCATAGCGTTGTACATCTGTACTATACCGGGTTTCTCATTATTTTAACTTTTTTCTAATCAATATTTTTGATATTATAAATTAATTATAGAAAAAATATAATATTTTAGAGTACAATTTTATTTGTGCCTTATTATTTGTTCTTCACGTATCACTAGCAGTAATAATGCTTAAAGTCAGTAATTATTGTCAAAACTAGTTGTAAATTAAAAAAAATAATGCTTCAAGTCTCCAAATTTGAAGGTATTTCTTGACAGAAAATTGAATCAAGTTGGTACTTTGAATACATCTAAACTAAAAAAATTCCCAGTATTTTTCAAAAAAAATCAATCAAAATTAAAAAAAATAAATACTAAATTGCAAACAAAATCGCGCTAAACCAGTTTTCTATAATTTCAATGATGTTTTTG